GGGCCTTGCTGGAACTCAGGCATCTGGAGGTGATGAGCCACCGTACACCAGTGCCAACTTTCAACGATGGTGTCCAGAGTTTTCTTGACGGTCCGCGAGCACATGTCTTCAGCCGAGAAAGCGCCCACGCTGGAATGCTGCCACGTGAGACCGTTCATACGAATACCGAGACAGAGCGCCGCGACCGCCGCAGCAGCGAAAGGGCCGCGGACGCATTGCCAAGGTGAGCCGTGCTCGTGGAGTTTCTGCCACGCCCCTGCGAAACCTTGCTCGACCACGACCCTCGGCACCCGCCCGTCCCAGAGAGAGGAAGCGATGGCGAGGAGAGGAGAAACGTTAAGATCAGACGCAGGATCTAAACGCGCGACTCCAGACAACTGTTCCTTGTTTGGCGTGCTAGGAAGTCGGACACATTCCTATCATCTGCCTCGTACTGTGCTGCGTCCACTTCATTGTATGAATGGTCAGCCAAATCATATGGGGATGCGCACACAACGATTTCACAACTCCACCGTGGTTTCGAATTTTGATTTGCTGACGTAGTCGTACTATTATCTTTGTTCACAATACTAATCATATAAATGCAAATATTGCTATATTGTGTACGACTGCGGTCAATATCACTATCAACATTATTCATATCATTCTTAACCGTATAATTACTACGCGTAAGAAATTATCAATAATAGTACGACTACTGATATTGATACGATTTTGATGACTATGGTTGTGATGATCACATGATCCAAACAATGTTTGTATTTCGGGGTTCGTACTTGGTTTACCCATTTCGGGGTGAATGGCGGTTTTTGCGGGCGGTGCCGCCCGTCGCCGCCGTCGCCGTCGCCGTCGCCGTCGCCGTCGCCCACGCTCGGGGCGAGTGGCGGTTTCTGCAAGCGGCGCCGCCCGTCGCCGCCGTCGGCGACGCCGCCGCTCGGGGAGAATGGCGGCTTTTGCTGTTTTTTTTGTTAAAAAAGAACCCATCACCACGCCCCCCCCGGGTTTATCGACCTCCCTTTTCGCATTGTAAATTACATATGAATATGCCCCTTCGCCCATCCCAAATATGGATTCGTACCATCCCACCCAAGCCGGTACCGACCCCCCCCGCCATGCCCTGCAAAAACACATGCGCGCACTCGCTCTTCAAAAACCAAAAATATTCAAAAATCCCTTGTAACAAGAAAAACGACAATCATACATATATATATATACATATAATTATATTTAACTATATATATAACATAAAAAATGCAGCGTGTCGTCGCGCGCGCGTGCCGGAATCCTTCAAAAACGTCCGGTTTCGGAGGGGGGTCAAAGTCGAGCGCCCAAAAAAAAACATATAAAAACCCATGGCTTCGCAACACGGATTCCCAAACAACACAGAACAAACCCACACAAAAAGGACGCGCGCGCTCGTGAATTCTAGGAAAACCATTTTTAAATGTTGCATCATCATTCAGACACAAACTACAAAACGGGCTTCGCGCGCGCGTGTCGAAATCGTTCCAGCGCCTTTGCGCGCGTGGCGTCGCGAGAATACTTTGCCCGAACAAAAATTGAGTGCACACGCTCACGTCGTCGCGCGCGCATGCCGAAATCCTTCACCAACACTCGGTTCCGTAACGACTCCACAACCGAATGTCCAAAAAACATTCCAACACACACAAAGTTTCGCGGCATCAGTTTTCAAGAAATATTGCGCGCACGCTCTTGCGAGTTCTTGAAGAATAAGCGTAAGTTGTTTCTAGCATGTCCATGCTATTGTGCCAAACGGGGCTTTGGCGCCGCATGCCGATATCATTCGCACGCCCTTGCGCGCGTGCTGGGGGGCACGATCCTTGTCAAATAAAACCACGCGGGCAACTCTCGCGCGTCGGCCGCGCGCGCGTCGAACTCCTTCCAAAACCTCCATCACCGACGCGAGGAAGCCATTATCGTCGCCGGCGTGATCAGCATCGGCGCCCGCGCTGGCCGCGCTTTCGTCGGTGCGAAAATCGTCACCACCATCGCCACTATCATCATCGCGTCTACCGTAGTCAGCGTTGCCATGACACCGCGCCCGCCCAAGTCGCCGACTCGCAGTGAAGCGCCCGCTGAGATGCGCCCAGCGGTCAGCGCCATCGCGGCCGCGTCGGTGGCGCCAAACCAGCTGGCCGCTGCGCACGCGTGCTAGGGTTGTCGCGGCCGGAGGGATGCACCAGCCAACACCAAGCATGCATCGCAATCACCACCGCTTGGGTTTTGCAATTGGGTGGGTGGGTGGGATGTTGCCGCGAGCAGTGGTGGTCAAGCACGGCGCAGGGCAGAACATTAACCTTTCTAACCAAGAAATAAGTTATAGACCCTCCCCCCACTTATCGACTCCCCGGGAGCCTATGCAAAACACATACGATTCTGACCCAATGTCCATCCGACATACAACTCATACGACCCAGCTATGCCCGCATCGGTCCCCCCTCGATCCCCCTCCAAAAAAACTGTACGGAGACATTTGTTGCTCTGACATAACACTTGTTCACGAATCCCTTGTAACAAAATACCATGCGGGGCACACCCGCGCAGCCGCTGCGCGCGCATGTCG